AGGCATTCTTTCTCAGTCGTGGAGTAATTTTTCTCCGCCTTGGACAGTGTCCGACTTGCGTAGGCGATAACTCGCTCGGTGCCGTCTTGCACTTGAACCAGTACCGCGCCAAGTCCAGCGTTACTTGCGTCCGTGTGAATTTCGGTTTCCGCATCTTGATCGAAATGTCCTAGAACAGGAGGAGTCTGCAGTCGTCGCTTCAGCTCGTCGAATGCCTGCTGCTGCTTCTCGGCCCATTCGAACTTCTCGGCGTCCTTTGTGAGGTTTGTGAGTGGTGCGGAAATCCTTGCAAACTCCCGGATGAAGCGCCGATAGTAGGCACATAGTCCAAGAAACCTTCGCACGGCCTTCTTGTCTGTCGGTACTGGAAATGCTGCGACGGCGCGAGTCTTCTCTGGGTCGGGGCGAACGCCTTCGTTACTAACCACGTGACCTAGAAACTTCAGTTCGTCATAGGCAAACCGACACTTTGACGGCTTCAGGGTGAGTCCGGCGGTCCGTATGGCTTGGAGAAGTGCTCGGAGTCGTCGCAAGTGCTCGTCGAAGTCGCTGGAAAACACTACGACGTCATCGAGGTAGACGAGACAGCTCTGCCACTTCAGTCCTGCCAGTACGGTGTCCATGACACGCTGGAAAGTTGCTGGAGCCTTGCACAGTCCGAAGGGCATCACCTTGAACTCGTACAGCCCATCTGGCGTGACGAAAGCTGTTTTCTCTCGGTCCCGTTCGTCGACTTCGATCTGCCAGTAGCCGCTCTTCAGGTCCATGGATGAAAAGTATCGGGAGTGGCGCAGCCGGTCTAATGTGTCGTCGATGCGGGGAAGTGGGTAGACGTCTTTCTTTGTCACTGCGTTCAGCTGCCGGTAGTCCACGCAGAACCTAAGCGTTCCGTCCTTCTTCTTAACCAGTACAACTGGAGAGGCCCACGGACTGCTTGAGGGTTGGATTATGTCGTCATTCAGCATCTCTTGCACTTGGATCACCTCCCTTTCTTTAACGGAGACTCTGTACGGCGATCGATGCACAGGGCGCGCGTCGTCCTCGGTAACGATGCGGTGTTTCGCAATGGTGGTTTGGCGCACCCTCGACGACGTCGCGAAGCAGTCACTGTATTCGGCGGGAAGGTCACTCAGCTGCCGTCGTTTCGGGCCTGGAAGCTTGCGGTCAATGTCGAGCTGTGCTGGCGCCGTAATGTGTTGCTGAGGTGGGAATGATTCTTCAGCAATCGCGGCGATTTCGGCCGAGTTCCGAATTTCCTCGACGTGGCCTACAGCCGCACCTTTCGTGAGGTGTTGCTCTTCTTGTCGAAAGTTTGTAACGAAGACCACGGTGCGCCCATCCTGAAGTTCAGCCACTCCTCTTGCGACGCCTATTCCTCTTTCTAGGAGTAATTGAAGGTTGCCTTCAAGAACAACTTCGCCGCAGGTAGCTGCATCCGCCACTACGGGTACGACAACACTTGATCGCGGCGGCAGGTTCACGTGGTCGGCAGCGACTCGGACGGCGGCTGACGCTGTTTGAGGTTTCTCTGAAGACGGAACGGGCTTGCGCAGCGTCAACCTGTTCTCACCAAGGTCGATGACGGCGCCGTATTCACACAGAAAGTCCATGCCGAGAATAACGTCTCTGGAACAGTCTTGTAGAACGATGAACTTCACAGGGCACGTTTCACCGCGGATCTCGACGCGAGCAGTGCATCTCCCGATGGGTGTGATGAGGTGCCCTCCGGCGGTTCGTATTTGAGGTCCATCCCACGGCGTCGTGACTTTTCGAAGGCGGCGGGAGAGCCTCCCACTCAAGACTGAGTAGTCTGCTCCGGTGTCCACGAGTGCAGATGCGTCGTGGCCGTCGATGACGACGTTTAGGTTATTGGACACCACTGCAGCGGCGTCGTTTTGGTCTCTGGTAGCGTTCGAGTGGGGGCCCCCCGACGTTCGTGGAGGATCTTGGCGTCGGTCGTCTTCGGCAACTCCACCTCCAGGGGTTGCCGCGCCTAGTTTCCCCGGCGAGGAGCGAGGGGGGACAGGCTTTCACGTCGTGGTCGGTGCATCGGCGAAGCTGGACGTCGCGGTGACGGCGACCGGAACTCTCGGCGGGACGCAGGCTCGGGGGACTGAGGTCGTCGCAGGTACTCGTCGATCTCGATAGGGCGTTCACCATGACGGGGGCGCGGGTCGTTCGGGTGGAACCCGCGTAGCCCGAGTCGTCGGTATGGGCATCGGCGGTAGTTGTGGTCCGCTTCCCCGCAATGGAAGCACAGAGGGCGCCGGTCGGGCGTTCGCCACACGTCGGTTTTGCGGGGTGCGCGAGGCTCCGGGCAGGCGTACTGGACCTGGTCGTCGTGGCGTCGGTCGTGCTGCGGCGCAGGAGACTGACGTCGAGGCGGCGTGACATAGGTGCGACGAGGAGGCGGTGGCCGTCGGGCCACTGCGGCGTAACTCAACGTCGGTGGTTCCGGAGCGGTGCTGACGAGAACCTCAGGCTGCAGCGCTTGCTGGACTTCTTCCCTGACAATCTTGGCGATTGAGGGCGAAGCTGGGCTTGCGGCGGCAGGTAGAAGTTTCTTGATCTCTTCCCGGACGACGTCTCGGATCATCTCGCGGATGTCCGTGGTGTTGCAGCCGGAAGGCGGAAAGGAACCGACGCCGGGAACTCGGTGATAGTGGGTGGCTCGTGCATGAAGGGCACGTTCGATGTTGGTGGCCTCCGTCATGAAGCCTTCGACGGTGGTAGGCGGGCTCCGCACAAGACCACCAAAAATGTTTTCCTTGACGCCACGCATCAAGACTCTGAGCTTCTTTGCTTCGGATGCTTCGGGATCGGCGCGGTTGCTCAGTCGCAGGACATCTTCCACGATGCTAACGACGCTCTCGGTAGGGGCTTGAATCCTCGCTTGAAGAAGCTCTTCCGCGCGTTCTCTTCGTTGTTGGTTCGTGAACGTTCTTCGCAACTCAGCCTTGAGTTGCTCCCAGGAAGTGATCGAAGCTTCGTGGTTCTCGAACCAATTCCGGGCGGTGGCTTCCAAGGCGAAGTAAGCGTTTTGCAGACACTGTTCCGGTGTCCACCCGTTATGACGGGCCACTCGTTCGTACTGTTGGACCCAGTCGTCGATGTCTTCGTGGCTTTCGCCGTGGAAGGGAGCCGGTGTCCGAGGAGCGACGGGTAGGTAGACGACGGCAGGAGCGGCGGGGGCCTGCGACTGGTTGTCCATCGTCGTCTTGGGTTTGTCCAGGAGCAAACCGTACTCCGGATCCTCTCTCTTGGTGCGGCGGCTGGTCCGAGTTTCAGGTTCCGCGCTGAGTGGTCTTCTCAGCGAGCTTGGAGTCGGGCTTGCACTGCGGGTCCTGGGAGGGGAACGCTGCACGGGCATGCGGTACCGAGCACCTCCACCAAAATGTCACGGGTGGTGACCAATAAACAATAAATAAACAGAAAGAAATAAACGTTTAATGTGGCGAACTTGTGCCAAAAATAAAAGGGTACTAAAGGTAATAACGGAGCGTCGCGGGCGTCGAAGTCGGCGTAGCAGCACAGTCCAACGCTGGGCGAAAACTGACTGCAGATCAGCACGCGGAGTCCCTTATGTACGCGCGTTGGGTTCTGGAACAATCGGCCTAGATTGTTCGGCGACTGGAACATTCAGAACTCGATCTGACGAGAATGTTCTCGAACTCACGAGAACGCAATGAAAGAACAAATAACAGAGCATTCCACTGACTGGAATCGAACCCAGACTTTCTGCACGACATTCAAGCACGGTAACCACTCGGCCACGCGCGCGGTCGCTCGCTGACGAGCGTGGCAATATATCTATAGTATATTTAACGATTTAGGTTGTTCGTTCGTACCCCAGGTAACGTGAACTCGATCTCAATTTCTGCGTATGCGCCTAATAGTCGAGTTCGAGTCGGAACTTTCGGCGTAAAAGACCGAAGAAGCGGAACCTGGCCGAACTCGAACCCCGTTTCAGATGAGGTCCGATCACAGAGAGCGCCAAAAGTGCATCGGCACATGGTGCACATCCGTCTTTGTGCGTTGTCACCAACCCAAATGAACTGAAGACCGTGTTGGTAAAATTTGACTGATAATCACCAACCCACCACGTACCGAAGAAGAGCGCAGAATCACAACGCATTCCCTGTGCGGGATTGCTTTAGCCGCTGATGGCAAACGCACAAAAACGACGAGCGGCATGACGGTGCACTATTCGGTGCTGCTTGGTTGGCTCAATCGGATCTTAGGGCGTTGGCTGCGTTCGAACTTGACGTGAAACGGTGCCTCCACCACCTTCCCAGCTCGAACGCCTTCGTGGAGTAGGGATTCCGTCTCGACCTCTGGAGCGCGAGGACCAGGGTTCGAACCCCGTAGTGGTTCCTTACCCCGAGGAATATCTGGAGCTTCGCTCATAGCTGATCAGTTCTTTCGCGACGTCAAACTCCCATATTTCCTTCTTTCTGTTATTGTTTCAGCGCATCTTCGGAGCTTCGTTTTCGATTAAATCTTCCGAATAACTAGGTGTTTGGAAACTTCTTTACAATGTGCTTTCTGATCTTCCTTTATTAACCAGTTATCTTACGTAACATCTCACCAATCAATAATTAAAAGGAAGAAAGAAAACAAACGCGGGCGGCGTTTTCGAGAGTAAAATATCAACAATAAATGTTTTAAGAATTATTTTCCTCCGTTCAATATACGTAATTGGAGCGTGCGTGTTTTCGAAAAGCGTTGTCTTTTGCTACGAGCCAGAGCATTTTTTCTTCATTCATTAAGTGAGCTTCTTTGAATTTAAATATTTATGACCGGCGAGTATTTGCATTGGTTATTTTTGTTGTCCTTATATTTATTGTATCGTATATTTGTGTGTATGTTTATTTTATGTTTGAAATGATTCACTTCCCCCACTCCTATAAAAGCCCTTACAAGGACTGAAAGTATGTGAAATATAAATCGCGCGTCAGCGCGCACTGGCGTCTCACAAGCCGTCCTTCTCCCCCTCGCAGATGGCGTCCCACGAGTCCAGCTGAGGCCTCTCGCCTAGTCCAGGCGGCCTTTCCCTCACCCCTGTGCGGGCCAACCAAAGAAGCAGCCTCCGGATGGACCACTCTGTGAAGGCGATGCAGTCGCACCGCAAGGCCGCCTTCTCCAGACTGCTGCGAGGCCGCCGTTTCGAGAACCGCGACCTGGAGCAGCTGTACCAGCGCTACATCTTCAAGCTGCAACAGTCCTCCATCGCCAGTGTCCTGGGACTTCTGGTTCTGCTCAACGTGACCCTGGCGTCCGTGGACCTGGCCTACAGGTCCGGGTCGCCGTCCCTCTCCGGCGTCCTCCACCTGGCCCACGGACTCCTCTTCCTGGCGGGCTTCTGCTTCGTGGCCACCAGGCGCCTCGAAGACGCCTACCTCCTGGGCCTGTGCCACGCGACCTTGGCTCTGGGGGCGTCCTTCTGCGTGCTCTCGATGCCCATGGAAGTGGGGGACCCGGGGTCGTCGGCCCACTTCTGGACGCTGAGGAGGCCCTCTACGGCCGACGGCGTCTGGGAGCTGGTGTTTGTGCTGTTCCTCGCGTACACGATGCTGCCCGTGCGTACCAGGACCGTGTTTGTGCTCGGGACGTCGCTGTGCGTGCTCCACACAGTGTGCGCCTGCCTCTTCACCACGGAGCTCATCGAACACAGGACTGCGCAGGTGAGTGAGGCTTTCTGCTCTGCCTGGACGGTTTAATGGTACACTGCAGAAACGAACCTTTCAAAAAGAGTGTCTCTTTTTCTTTTTTTTTATCACGTTGGTAGTTTCCGTCCATTGCCCGGTACTGCGTCACAGTTGGATCAACATGGAAATTCATAGAACCACCTATGCTGTACGGCACTGGTGCAGACATTTGCGTTTCAGTAAGACCGAGTGCGTTAGGCTGGGCAGTTGATCGATTAACCTACCGATTAATTGATTAATGCTTTAAAATTTTTTACTTGGTAAATTGGTAAAATTTTGACTAATTAAAAAGGTAAATCTTCAACGCTTTCACCACGCTGGCGTGTACGAGTACACCTGTATGGAGGCCAACTTTAGGTGAAATATTGACCCGAAGCAAATTGTAGGAGTGAGATCTTCAACTCCAGACAATTGCCGAAGGTTACACGTGTCCTGGCCACTTCAACGGCGTTCAAGTGTCCGTTTAACAATCAATAGAGGTCGCTCTTGCGGAGAATATCAACGAACCTCTGACCTCATGCAGATGAAAACTTAATATATGAGTGCGAGTGTCTTTGAACTGTTCTCAACTACACATCGAGCTTGATTCGAGATCAAAAAGGCATATAGCACCGTTTGTCACAAATTCATGAAAAGCCAAAAAAAAAATAATAAGAATAAAAAGCATTTTTTATGTATTTGTTATGCATGAAAATGAGCAAGACCGATTAATCGATGAATTAATCAATTAAAGGGTTGCGATTAATCGGGTTAAAAGTTTCAAAAATATCTGTATTACTAGCATTTTCTTAGATATTAGAAGCAATAATCAATAGCGCTCTCTTTTTTTTTTTTTTTTACAAGACATGAAATAGTTTTAGAACAGCAGTTCGGATTTCAAAGGAATAAGTCGACGGTAATGGCACTTCTGAACATTAAAGATAAAATTATAACCAATATCGAAAATATGCAATGTACGATGCAAATGTTTCTCGACTTTCGAAAAGCTTTCGACTCAATTAATCACAAAATACTGTTAACAAAGCCGAGTATACCTATGGTGTAAGGGGCAAAGCGCTAGAATTAATATGGAGTTAGTTGAGCTCTCGTTCACAATTTACCATCTATGACGGCGGTAAGTTTGATATTCAACAGATCGCATATGGTGACCCACAAGGATACGTTCTAGGACCATTATTGTTTCTTGTTTATATTAATAATATTGTACATATCATTGTACATTTTGCGGACGTAATAATATTTGCGGACGACTCCAATTTTTTTTTTCTCCCACAATGATCTTAGACATTTTGAACCACGCGATTCCTATCCACGTGGCTAGTGACAAACCAGCTCGAATTGAATATTTCTAAAACTAAATATATCATTTTCAGGGCAAAAAACAACACTTAATTATTACATCGACAAAAATTTTTATCTGATTTATTGAAGTTCTTGGGTGTATGGTTTTACCAGAGTTCGCACTGTGCAACTCATGTATCTAAGCTGTATGTTTAACCCTCTCACGTTCAATCGGCATATTACATGAACTAAGACTTTTACTACCAACATGGCTTTAAACGTCAACTATACAGTGCACTTATGCACTCTCACCTACATTACTGTTCGTTGGTTTGATGAACGACATCATAAAGCAACATTGAAAAACTTTTAGTGCTTTAGAAAAAAGAAATTCGGCCCATTGCATGCTTGTGCCGTAACGATCAAACATGCATTTCTTTTAAGAAATATAATTTATTCACCGTACGTACAACAGTTAATAATTTTTAACCTGGCAAAAGTAATCTTCAATTCTCTCAGAAACTATACGGAGTCCTTTGTTACTCGATTTCCCTTAAGAGACACCGAAAGAGCTTAAGACGTGTGGAATGTGATAGAGGCCAAATACCCACCAATTATGGTGAACAAACATTGAAGCAGAAATTAACGCAACTTTTAAACATACATACACAAAATCCCGGTATCGCAACAAAATCAAGATCTGCAGATGCATATAAGAAAGAATAAGAAATTATATTTTCGAGCATATATAAATTATTGTGTAGAAATGCTGACACTCATTGCATTGTGTTAGAAATGCACATCTTTCTTGTTATTATTTTTTTTTTACGCTACATTTGAATATATACTGCGTGTTCCTTGTAAGAGCTGCGCCGCTCTGAAACCTGTATGGCGCACAAGACCTGGGTCAGGTGTTTTAATACACCTTTTGTCCCTGCTATCCTAAAATAGAATGCCAAATAGATACAAAAAAAAAAAAAGGCGCAGCCCTAGTGACGATTACCTAAGAGCGTGATGAGATGGTTGTTATGGCAACCGAGGTCCGCTCAGCGCGTCGCATTGGAATGCAAGGGGCAGTAACGCAGCCGATCAAACTCAAACGTAAATGTCAGAACCCAAACATTTCCGTTTAAAAATCCAATTAAAAAAAAAAAAGACGTGAGAAGAAACGTTTCCATTTGTGACGTTTTTTTTCTCCCGGTTCTTCTTCCTCGACTTCCTTCGCTTTTCCCTCACCGCGGACTCGTGTAATGCCCATCATGATTAACTACTAATGCCCGTGTCCCACTAGAGCGACAGACAGAGACAAAAGACAGCGACAAGCCTCAATCAAACCCATGCAGCACGCTCGCGATGGTACCTTTGGCAGGCGTCTAGTCGTTCGGTGCTCGAGAATGAAGCACGAGCGATTGCAAGCCTGGCAAAGGTACCCTCGCGTGCATGATGCTCGTGTTTGAGCATAGCCTCTTTTATTCTACAAAGCCTCTCAAATCACGAAAGGCTCTGGTTTGAGGCTCGTCGTTGACTTTTGTTTCTGTATGTCGCTCTAGTGGGACACGGGCATTAGCGTTGCACGGACCTCGGTTGCCATAGCAACCATCTCGTTGTAAGCAGTCATAGTCGGCCCTAACGCAGTCGGTCAAGCGCAAATGCAAAAAAAATATATATATCGGGAATTATTCGAATCAATTTTCGTTCGGCTTCTTCCAATCGACGTGTATCACCTCCTGGTGAAAAATACGGGGAAGGATGTGGAAAGCACTTTCGGTCGATTAAAGGCTCGGAATACCGACGTCGTTGTGAGAGCGACCTTGAAGGTCGCGGCTCTCGAAAACACGGACGGCGAGTCGAGCACAAAGGGCGCCCGTGTCAACGTATCATATCATTTACTTTCGACGTGGACACCGAGCGCTTTTCTCTCGATCGACGGTGAGCGTCGATGGTCCTTTGATCTCGCGTGAGCGGGTGCCAAATGTCACGCCCGTCGTGAGTGATGGCAGGCGCAACTGGCTGTCCGTATAGTCTCCGTTCGCCCCCGAGCTGACAGTGCGGTGGGAGCTACGCGCGTGCCGGACCAATCAGCCGCCTCCCTCTCACTCACCCGCCCCCGCTCGCGTATGAGTGAAAGCGTGGTCACGCGGCGAAAGACGGACGTGTCTGACTGGTCCATCGAGCTCCCAACTGGCACCGTACTGTCAGCGTAGCGGTAAACGGAGTACAAGTGTTCCGCCTTCTCGTAAATAAACGGGACTGGCCAGAAGCGAGTAGCAGCCACTGATCGAACATTCGCGATTCCTTTTGTCCGAGATTGCCTAACACCCGCAGAATCATATTTAAATAAATAAAAGAGGACGAGAAAAAAAAAAGTGATCGACGTTCCGCGGCCACTCTTGCACTTTTGGAATGTGGCGCAGAGATGCGCGACCCATCCCCCAGCCAATCGAGGGCTGGGAAAGCACCACGTCGCTTCGTGCCCGGGGCGTCGCCGCGCGCCCCTTTCGCAGGTCACGTGACACTCGCGAGATATTGGATTGGCTTGGATAGCTCGCAGCTGTCCAAGCCAATCCAGTGTCCAAATCTGGCTGTTTGCTCGTACGGAGGAGCGGCTATAGGAAGCGAGCATGCCGGCCGTGTCGCGGCGGTCGCCTATTGTTCGCCGCGACCTACCGGTAGCCGCCGCAGGAGCATCGGGGAGCAATGGCGACGAACAGCACGGCAGACAGTGTCCCCGTCGTGATTACGAAGGAATTTAAGGCAGTTACGAGTTCGGAAAGTTCCTTCGGTAGCCGGTGCCGTCGGCGCAGAATCATCGGGAAGTAATAGCAACGAACACCACAGAGGACAGAGGGCGATTACGAATCCGGAAAACTTCTTCGGTAGCCGGTGCAGAATCATCGGGGGAAGCAATGGCGATGAGCAGCACAGCTAGCACAGCGGATAGTGTTCCCGGGGTGATTACGACGGGGTTTAAGGCGGTTACGAATCTAGAAAGCTTCTTCCGTGGTACCAATATGAAGAAGGGAAAACTCCTTCGTGAATCTGGCCGCGTGTACGACGTGAAGGAGGTCCGTTTCGACGGACAAGTGGATGTCACGGAGCACCGTACTCCGCTAACAAAATTAAGCGTGCCCGCAAAAAAATGTAGTTGGCGTTGAGTGGACCGTGGTAATTATGTACGTTTATTTCTGAATCAGCTTGACAATAACTGGGCGATTTCTTTCGCGCCGTTCCGCGATTCCCACTACTATCTTCCTGTAGGCTGATGGAAACATCCAAGTGTAGGCTTAGGGGGGCGACCGCACTCCGCTTCTCGATTCCGGTGAAGTATTTGCCGCATACTTTAGAGTTTGCCGTCGGTGTCGATGCTGTTCCATCGTCGCTAGAATAGAAAAAAGTTAATTGTATTATTCGTCAGCAGCTTAAACAAAGCGCGAACAGAAAGGTAAGAAACGCCACTAACCTGTTTGGACGCACAAGTCGCACCTGCAGGTCGCGCAGTACTCCGCCTCGTACGGCCGTACGGCTTCGAAGGGACGATGTAGTACTTCGTGCCGTGTGCGATCTTTGACGTACTGTTGCAGCCGACCACGCAGCAATTGTTGCGGCTTTCTTGGTGCGGAATAGCCATCTCAGAAATTACAACGCTAACTCACTACAACGCACAACCAACGCAGCGACTGGCAGAAGCTCCCCGA